CCTGTGATTTCTATTATTTGTTGTACTATCCTCTGTCAAAAATCTTGTATTATGGGCATTCCCACCATATATGTAACATTGTACCCTCTAACCCGCATCCCCTCCAACAGAGCGGCAAATTTTCTGGGTGGTACCTATGAACTCTACTCGGCGTATCATACCATCTGCTCAATAATTTCTAATTAATTTCAACTGTATCCATATCGGTTGCCCCATGTACCATTCTACTTATTTTCTTTTTCTGCTGTTTGTTTAGCTGTGTTCCCAATTCTTTTTTTCCATTTTTCTATATATTGTGGGAAAACCGGATCAAATATTATAGTGAGTGTCTTATACATACGCGAAGTGCAATGTTTTTGTGCTCCCTTTAAATTCATCAAGTGTTTAAATGTGTGCAAGTTTTGGACCGTTCTAATTGGCTGTTGAAGCACTACTACAAAATGTTTAAGTTAATGATAGTTTCATTCATCTAACACGTAAAACATCTTTTTCGTGTTTCAACTCCCGAAAAGAACACATTTCATCCTTATTCATAATATCTTTTAAACGTGCATTCCTATCTCTTATCCACCTCCCTGATATGTTACCTAACCCCAGTGAAAAATATTTTGTGCCTACTAGTGGTATTAATGGTGAATTATATTCCCACCCCATCTGTTTATACACTAAATCCCATACCTTCCAATACATTTCGTGTTAAAGTGCTGGTATTCTCCGCTAGCATTCAGTATTGTTGTGGAATCCATATAATCTTATCCAATTGAACTTCACTCAGTGTTTCTTCAATCCTCACCCAACCTTTCTCCTGAGAATTATACACCCAATCCATTATTCGTGATAATATATCTGCAAAATAATATATTTTAATACCTGGCATATTTAGACCCCCGTTTTATTTTTTCTTTACATAATACCTCTTGCCTTACCCTTGTTTTTTTATTTACCCATATGTATCTCATTATTACTTTTTGTAGGGCCCTAATATATATCATCGAGAGATAGATTGGTAACATGAAATTTATATAAGATTTTGGCAAAATCACCATCTTAACCATATTCATTCAGCCAATCCAGGAAAGCCTTCCTTTTGGGCTTTTCCTCAACTCCTCCTTAATTTCGTTAATTAGCGGGATATGGTTTGCATGGTATATACCCTTCAGTGACGGTGTTAGCTTCACTCCTAAGTATTTTAATTCCTTATCTCTCCAAATAAAGGAGAACTTTCCCTGTATTGCTTGTTTTTCTGCCTTAGATAGATAGGTTTATATTTAGAATCTCTGACTTTGTAAAGGTTGATTTTAAAATTTGACAACTCTCCATATTTTCCTAATATATACATTATAGTTGGTAATGTTAGTCTAGGATTTGCAACGTAAAATAACAAATCATCTGCCGCCACTTTATGTTCTATTTCTTCAACCCATATCCCTTTTATATCTACATTATTCTGTATTGTTGCTAAAAGGGGCTCTAAAGATAATATAAACAAGAGTGGTGAGAGTGGACATCCTTGTCTTGTTCCATTATACATTGTAAAAGGTTGGGACTATGTACCATTTATCTTTACTGCTGCCAAAGGGCATCTATATAGATTTTTTTATCCATTGCATCATTTTATTCCCTAAGCCTAATACCTCTAAGTTACTCAACACAAATCCCCCCTGTCAAACGCTTTTTCCGCGTCTATTGACAGGAGTATAACTGGGCTCTTCTCTTCTTTGCCCTTTTGCAGCAGGAGCAATGATCTCAGACCATTATCTCTTCCCTCTCTCCCTGGAACAAATCCTACCTGATCTGGATGAACCAAATCTGGCAATAGTTTTTTATCTTGTTGGCAATTACCTTTGCATATAATATCTCACCGTGTACCCATCAGGCCCCGGGCTCTTACCCGTTATTGTACTCCTTAGTGCTGCTTGTATTTCCTCCTGTGTTATTGGGTTATCTAGTATTGTCACTCTTCTTCTATTCTAGGTAATCCCGCTGCTTTAAGGAATTCCTGTATCTTCGTTCTTCTATCTCCTTTTGGTTCTCTTTCGTCCCTGTGTTTAATTGCATACAGTAGACTATAATATTCTTGGAATGCATTTGCAATCTTTTTAGTTGAATATACTATTTCTCCTGATTTATTCCTGATCTTCTCTATGTAGTTTATTGATTTCTTATCCCTCAATATCTTTGCCAAGTTTTTTCCTGGTCTGTTCCCCATTGATATCTTTCTTTTGCCACCCTGTTAAATACCCTTTTTGTCTCCTTTTCCAGTAAGTCATTTAATTCTATTTAAGGTTATCTTATGATGTACCCCCTCTCTACTCTTATGTATTTGTTCTTATTCCTGTATTTCTTCTAGCAGTATCCTAACCCTTTTGGTCCGGATTCTCTTTTTTTCTGCTCCTACTGAGATCAGGATACCCCTTATATAGGCCTGTGTGGTCTTCCCAGACCGTGGCCATTTTAACTTCCCCTGTATTATTTCACTGAAAATATTGCTCAATTTCTTTTTTTCTTCTTTCTTTGGTCTCTTGATCTTGTAGAAATTACTCGTTTAATTTCCATGTGTTTATCTTATCTAAAGCCTCTCCCATTTTCAGCTTCATTGTGACTGGTGCATGGTCCGACAGTGTTGTAACTTCAGTGTTGGATTTAATCAGCAATTCCAGTAATCTATGCTCAATCATAACATAATACAGTCTAGAATATACTGCATGTACAGAGGAGTGGAAAGTATAGTCTCTTACCCCTGGATGCTTAATTCTCCAAACATCTATCAACTGACATTGATGTACCACCTTTTTTTACGTTTTTAAGCATTTACTTCTCTCTCTGTGTACATGCGAAGGAGTGTCCAACTATGGGTCCATGCACAGAAGAAAATCTCCTGGCACAATTAATTTCCCTTTCTTAAATTCTATCAGTTTCCTTAATGTCTCTACTAAGTAGCCCGTTGCGTTCTTCTTTGGACAGTAATATTTGCAAGCATATATCCCACACCATATAAGCAGCGTTTCAAAAACAGGAACCGACCCTCTGGGTCTCCCAACCTATCTTCTAAGCTAAATTTTTTATTCCTTGCCATCCCAATTGCTACTCTTTTAGCTCGTTTTATTGGGGAGTCTGCATAATACCTGGTCAGGTATTGTCTTGAATGTAATTTAACTATTGTATCTAAAGATAAATGCGTCTCTTGTAAGAATACTATATCAATTGAGCGTTGCTCCAATTCCCTCATAATATTATGTCTTTTAACTGGATTATTCAAACCTTTTGACATTGTAAGTCATACAATTTACTACAGTCTTGTCACTGATTTCTTAATGTTAGAACCTTTTTTCCACTTGATTCACACAGAGTAATCTATATAATAATTTTGAAACCAATCGATAAATTCCCAGTACCCCTTTCTCACTAATCCTTGCCCCCACCATTCTCCCACCCTCTTCTCCCCTCCCCCCTCCTCTCCCCTTCCCTGCTTCCTCCTCCCAACCCCAACCCATTTGACCCTCTGTCAGGAATGGACTGGCCAGCAATGGTGGGACTCGCCTGCCTTATGGGCTGCAGTACCAGGGCTGGCCAGCGGGTGCACCCAGCAATCAGAGACTCAACCTTGCAACCAGTCAAAACACCTGGAACTGGTTATACTGGTGTATTTAAGGGATGGCCAGACCTGCAGATTCTGCCTTGGTGTTGTGTTTTTCCTGGGCCCTGTATCCTGTTCCTGCTCCCTGTTCCTGTCTGATTCGTTGCTGACCCTGCTCTGATCCCTGGCTTTGTCTGACCATTTCCTGCTCCTGATCCCTGGCTTGTCTGACCATTCTCCTCTGCCTGACCCTCTGTACCACGCTGCCCGCTACCTGCTGAACCTGGCTTGTGACCCCGACCTTCTCCGCTTGCTCCCCTTGTACCTACCTGCCCGATTGATATTGACCCGGCCTGCCTGACGACGCTTGCATTGTATGTACTGTTATCTGTGGGTGTTTGGTTTGGTTTGTTTGCACTGTGTTATGTTTTAGTATTGCACTGCGTTTATGTTTGTATTGTTAATGTTAATAAATTATATTGTTTATAACATATCTGAAGTCTGCGTTTCCCTGCGTCAGTCACACACCTCTGGTCATACCCGGGAGCCCTGACATTACACCAAGGCCAATCCTGACCAGAAGTGGCTGCACAGGGAAGCCATCTTGGTTTGATGATGGGAAGGATGGATCTTGATAAGGTTGTGTATTTATATCTGCTAGTGTTTGATGACAGAGAGTATGCTTATCAAACTCTGAAGGAGTATCCCCGGGATGAACTGCTAGAATGTATACGGCTCGCTCATCTTCTAGTAGATCAGGGCACAGAATTTTCTGAGGTGCAGCCATTGATTCAGATTTGTGCGGAGTTGGTTTCATCTGGTACCCCCGAATGCAGGGATGACTTTTTGCCGCCATTTAGTGCAGACCAGGTAGAGTCCCTGGTATGGTTATTAGAGGATGATGTGGATTGCTTCTTGGAGCATTATGCTGCATGTTCACCACAGGTACTAAGAGATTGTATAAACGCAGTGCAGTCATTGACCAGACAGGCTTTGTGTAAGCTCAGCTTTGTTCAACCCATACTGCAGACATGGACAGATTTGTTACACCCAGCCTCAGTCAGCTTAAAAAAACCCAGTCCTGCTTCTAATCTATTTCCTCAAAACTCTATTCCTGCATTCCAAACAGCTCCTCCTGCCCTGCTATCTACCGCATGTCAGTCCACTGTTCCCACTCGCTGCACCTATCCTGCCTTTAACCCTGTAAACAAGCCCTCTGTAGCAACTGCTCCCTCCCCTGTTCCATCCTCCAGCTCTTCTCTGTCTCCAGCTGCTCCATTCGTTTGCAGACCTGCGTTTACTTGCAGTGCTCCAGTAGTTAAAACCAGAAAAAAGCAAAAATTCTTTCCAACCAGTACCATCCTGCCAGTATCCAAACCGGTGAGCCTGCCGTCTGAGAACCTGCCTTCCGTGGTTCAGCCTGATGCCTGTACTCAGCCTGATGCCTGTACTCAGCCTGATGCCTGTACTCAGCCTGATGCCTGTACTCAGCCTGATGCCTGTACTCAGCCTGATGCCTGTACTCAGCCTGATGCCTGTACTCAGCCTGATGCCTGTACTCAGCCTGATGCCTCTACCCAGCATGCATGATGAACTGATCCAACCTGATGATCCTATTAGGCCAATTGACTCAGAGCCCGCTGTCGTACCTGGTGACTCGGTGCCCGCTACCTTGCCAGATGACGCGGTGCCCGCTGGCGAGCCAAATGACCTGATGCCTGGTGACCCAGTGCCCGCTGTCATACCTGGTGACCCGATGCCCGCTGTCGAGCCAGATGACGCGGTGCCCGCTGGCAAGCCAAATGACCTGATGCCTGGTGACCCAGTGCCCTCTGTCATACCTGGTGACCCGATGCCCGCTGTCGAGCCAGACAATCCGGTACCTGATGACCCGGTGCCCGCTGTCGTGCCAATTGAGTCAGAGCCCACTGCCTTGCCAGATGACGCGGTGCCCGCTGTCGAGCCAAATGACCTGATGCCTGGTGACCCGATGCCCGCTGTCCAGCCAGACGATCCAATGTCTGACCCAGTGCACGCGGTCATGCCAGTTGACTCGGAGCCCACTGCCTTGCCAGATGACGCGGTGCCCGCTGTCGAGCCAAGTGACCTGATGCCTGGTGACCCGATGCCCGCTGTCCAGCCAGACGATCCATTGTCTGACCCAGTGCCAGCGGTCATGCCAGTTGACTCGGAGCCCACTGTCGTGCCTGGTGACCCGGTGCCGTCGCTCCGCCTGGGGGTCCGGCGCACGCCGCTCCGCCTGGGGGTCCGGCGCACCCGCTCCGCCTGGGGCCCGGCGCACCCGCTCCGGGGGTCCGGCGCACGCCGCTCCGCCTGGGGGTCCGGCGCACGCCGCTCCGCCTGGGGGTCCGGCGCACGCCGCTCCGCCTGGGGGTCCGGCGCACGCCGCTCCGCCTGGGGGCCCGAGACCTGTCGCTCCGCCTGGGGGCCCGAGACCTGTCGCTCCGCCTGGGGGCCCGAGACCTGTCGCTCCGCCTGGGGGCCCGAGACCTGTCGCTCCGCCTGGGGGCCCGAGACCTGTCGCTCCGCCTGGGGGCCCGAGACCTGTCGCTCCGCCTGGGGGCCCGAGACCTGTCGCTCCGCCTGGGGGCCCGGCGCCCGCCGCTCCGCCTGGGGGCCCGATGCCTGTCGCCCCGCCAGGGGGCTCGGTGCCTGTCGCCCCGCCTGGGGGCCCGGTGCCTGTCGCCCCGCCTGGGGGCCCGGTGCCTGTCGCCCCGCCTGGGGGCCCGGTGCCTGTCGCCCCGCCGGGGGGCCCGGTGCCTGTCGCCCCGCCGGGGGGCCCGGTGCCTGTCGCCCCGCCTGGGGGCCCGGTGCCTGTCGCCCCGCCTGGGGGCCCGGTGCCTGTCGCCCCGCCGGGGGGCTCGGTGCCTGTCGCCCCGCCGGGGGGCTCGGTGCCTGTCGCCCCCGGGGGGCTCGGTGCCTGTCGCCCGGCCTGGGGGCTCGGTGCCTGCCGCTTCGCCTGGTGATCCGATGTGCCTCTGCCCGGAGTCCAGCCCGATGTGCCTCTGCCCGGAGTCCTGCCCGATGTGCCTCTGCCCGGAGTCCTGCCCGATGTGCCTCTGCCCGGAGTCCTGCCCGATGTGCCTCTGCCCGGAGTCCTGCCCGATGTGCCTCTGCCCGGAGTCCTGCCCGATGTGCCTCTGCCCGGAGTCCTGCCCGATGTGCCTCTGCCCGGAGTCCTGCCCGATGTGCCTCTGCCCGGAGTCCTGCCCGATGTGCCTCTGCCCGGAGTCCAGCCCGATGTGCCTCTGCCCGGAGTCCAGCCCGATGTGCCTCTGCCCGGAGTCCAGCCCGATGTGCCGCTGCCCGGAGTCCAGCCTGATGTGCCGCTGCCCGGTGTGCCGCTGCCCGATGTGCCGCTGCCCGGAGTTCTGCCCGATGTGCCGCTGCCCGGTGTGCCGCTGCCCGATGTGCCGCTTCCTGGAGTTCTGCCCGATGTGCCTCTGCCCGGAGTTCTGCCCGATGTGCCGCTGCCCGATGTGCCTCTGCCCGGGGTCCTGCCCGGTGTGCCGCTGCCCGGAGTCCTGCCCGGTGTGCCAGTCTTTGATATCCCGCCAGTTACCAGACCCGGGCGGTGGAACATTTTGCCCAGCTAGGACTGTTTGGAGCGTCCTGAGGCCGCTCCTTGAGGGGGGGTACTGTCAGGAATTGACTGGCCAACAATGGTGGGACTCGCCTGCCTTATGGGCTGCAGTACCAGGGCTGGCCAGCGGGTGCACCCAGCAATCAGAGACTCAACCTTGCAGCCAGTCAAAACACCTGGAACTGATTATACTGGTGTATTTAAGGGATGGCCAGACCTGCAGACTCTGCCTTGGTGTTGTGTTTTTCCTGGGCCCTGTATCCTGTTCCTGCTCCCTGTTCCTGTCTGATTCGTTGCTGACCCTGCTCTGATCCCTGGCTTTGTCTGACCATTCTCCTGCTCCTGATCCCTGGCTTGTCTGACCATTCTCCTCTGCCTGACCCTCTGTACCACGCTGCCCGCTACCTGCTGAACCTGGCTTGTGACCCCGACCATTCTCCGCTTGCTCCCCCTGTACCTACCTGCCCGATTGATATTGACCCGGCCTGCCTGACGACGCTTGTATTGTATGTACTGTCATCTGTGGGTGGTTGGTTTGGTTTGTTTGCACTGTGTTATGTTTTAGTATTGCACTGCGTTTATGTTTGTATGGTTAGTGTTAATAAATTATATTGTTTATAACATATCTGAAGTCTGCGTTTCCCTGCGTCAGTCACACACCTCTGGTCATACCCGGGAGCCCTGACACCCTCTCCCAAACCTTGGATCTGTTGTGGGTCTATCCCCACCCTTGATCCTTCTGTTTGGGGTTGGACTCTGTCCATAAACACCTCCTCCCCTCTCCAACTCTACCCTGAAGATATGTATTCTAGATCATGTTGTGCCCTCATTTGGCCCGCCTTCAGTAAACCTTTTCCTTACCTACTCAGAAACCATTCCTCCCGCCCCCCAAAGAAGGAAAGAAGAAAAAAAAAGGGAATTGGCGGGGAACATTTTTAAGAAAAGGAGCCAGAAGCGGCAATGACTCTACCCAGACTCCAGATCTTGTCTATTTTTCTCTCGCCCCTATTAATGTCCTTTATGTTAAAGTCTCACAAAAAGTGGTTTCTTTTTATTCCTTGTTCTTTCTTCTTTTTTCCAATTCTTCTCATTTTTGTTGCCCTCTTCTTCTTGGGGTTACTTGTCACCTCTCTTGTTCTATCCCCAGTTCTTCCCTTATCCCATAAATCCAGTTTGGAATTTCCAGGACTTGCAATTCTAGTTCCTCACAGAACTCCTGGAGATCTTCTGGGAACCTTAACCACTTCCGGCCCGGCCATTGTATATAAATGGCCGTACGGTGGCAGTGCAGGGTGGGTGGCCGTTTATAAACAACCTCCCCGCCCCCTGCTTGTGCGCACTCCCTGGGAGCGTGTAGCACCGCGATCCGGTGCCGCTGTGTCCTCCAGACACAATGGAACACTGAGCGTTCTACACAAGCTCTGTGCGAGGTCCCGATCATATGATTACTGATTGGCCAATCAGTGATCACATGAAGAGTAGTAATCAAGATGTCACTTCTGACATCAATGCTTACTACGTGTGAAATCTGTGAATGATCGCAGAGGTCACATGGTACAAGTCTATTAACAACAGCCTTGTACCAAGTACCATTACAGCTCACACGTTATTTATCAATGGCTGCAAGAATGCAGCCAGAGAGAAAGAGAAATGATTGCTTTTACTGCCTTTATGGGTGTAAAAGCAATCAGTGTAAAAACAATCTTCATAAACCCCCACAAGTAGTACAGTGTCACCATGGTGACATTGTACTGCTAGGGTGACAGTATGTAAAAAAAAAAACATAAATAATAATATATAAAAAATTAAATAGAAATGTAAAACAAAATTTTTAAATTATAATTTTTGGTTATAAACTAATTTGGGTTATTTTATTTTTTTACTAAAAAGATAACTGAATACATTTTGACCAAGATTCATGAAGAAAGATTATTTATTTGCAAAATTTTTTTTAAAAAACACTTTTTAAAAAAAATTTTTGGACTTTTTCATTTATATAACAAAAAAGTTAAAATCCCAGTGGTGAATATATACCACCAAAATAAAGCTTTATCTGTCTCAAAAAAATGCTAATAAATTCATATGGGTACAGTTTTGCATGACCACGCAATTGTCATTCAAAGTGTGATAGTGCTGAAAGCTGAAAATTGGCCTGGGCAGAAAGGGGGTAAAAGTGTTCGGACTGGAAGTGGTTAATCTAGCTGAATGGCCATTTTTCCATCCCACCAGGCAAGCAGGAAAACCCCAATTATATTTAATGTTTCGTGTTCACATTTTTGCTGTAAGAGAGGTCTCAAAGTCCTTATTTTTGCTAATCTGCATAAATTTGCACGTCCATTCCCTCATATGTTATTGTGGGGATCCCTCTCATTTTCTTCCAGATTCTTGCTTTTTCCTCAACATAGTGAAACCTTACTAGCACTTCTCTTGGGGGTCTCCTTATCCTATGGACTCTGTTGATTTTCAATTGCTCGGATATAGAGCTATTTATTAGTGGATTTAACAATTTATTCATTACATCTCATAGATCTTCTCCTTGTGCACCTTCTGGTAGTCCTTAAATTGTTCCTTCTATTTCTGTTCTCCTGATCTTCTACTTTATATTCCAATCTTCTTTGTACATTTCGCATTTCCTCCAATTGGTTCTTTAATTCAGTTATTATTTGGGTATGTTTATCCAATTTGCTTTCTGTTTCTTCTACTCGGAACAATACTTGTCCCAAGTCCTTGTGTATTATTGCCATATCATTTTTTAACGATTGTTCTAATTTTATGATCATGTCAGCAATTTCCATTTTTGTCAGTAACTGAGCTACCATTTCTTTTTCTTCTGTGCTCCATATATCCAGCTGACAGTCCATATTTAACCTTTCTTTACCTTGACTCAGTGATCTGTTGTTTCCATTGACAGGCTAGGTCTGCACTGTTATTTTCCCTTGTTGATTTGCCATTAGCTCCCCTTTGCCTCTCAGGGGTCTGGTTCCCGGGACTTTTCTCCTGTGGGGGCATGTATTTTTTTAATTGTACTAGTATGTGTCTTTACACCACCCCCTTTTGCAGGCTTACTCTTCATCTTACTCTCTTCGACTGGCCTTGTTGTCCCTTGGAATATATCTAATTTCACACACCACTAGAGGAATTAGAGGTTATGGACCAGGCGAGACAGTACCGATGTTTCAATTCTATACTCCACTGAGTAACCTCCTCACACCTGTTCCTAGCAGCTTCTGCCTTTGGCTTTCCAGGTTCATCTGTTTCTTCTAGTCACTTCAAATACTCTACACAGTGCTTTTTTATAATTATGCACGTGCACTTCGTCTCGTGGCTTTCCCTGTCACTCTCTGACAGTCGTCTTCTTTCTGCGGGCTGCTCATCCAGCACAACTCCATGTCCTCTGCCAGGCCAAAAGAGCCACTGGAGCTGCCTGAACCAGTACGCCGCGCCGAGGACCAGACTCCCGCCAGGCACCAGGTAATTCTGCTACCGCTCTGCCGCTTTCATTCAGCGGGGCACATGGAGCTTCCCCTATATGCTCCTACTCAGCACCATGGACAGGCCCCTCCCCAGCATGGTTCAGTTTCTTGATGGACTAGTATTTTTAATCCTTATACTGCTAGTATTAGTAAATAGATAAAAAAAAGTTTAAAACAAATGATATACTTTCCTTTTTTTTTACGTTTCTTCAGTTACTTCCTGGTTTCCATGCCTAGGCAAATGATGTCATACGTCCCAGGGGAGGAAGGGTTCCTAGCTCAGCCTATGCTTGAGCTAAGGGCAGATGGATTTCAGGAAGTTAGTGATACATGAATCACCTGCCCTTATTTAAGATGGACACTGCCAGAAATGCTGGGGGGTTTTCAAAATGATCTCTCAGCAAAATAAAGCATGGAGACATGGATGGATGGTTGAGTTTGCTTTGAATATTAAAAATGAATTCAATAGCGTTTTTGACTTGTGGTGCTCAGATGCAGTGTAGTTCTGCTTTAACGTTCATCTCCACATGCTTGTGAAATCTGGTATCAGGGAGACATACACCGCAATCTTGGACTGAAGAGTGAATGTGGAAGTAATATATTTGGACTTTAACAACAACAGTGTAAATATAAGATCAGTTTGTTAATGGATAGAAACTTGGCTTAGGAAAAATTATATAGAAGATATACATAAATATATTGATTTAAAGACGAAATCTAAAAAGTCATGATCAGCAAATCATACTTTTTAAAGTGTAAGATTTTAAGTGGTATAGCCCACACTTCAAGTGCTATTAGCCGGTTCTTTTTCGCCCTATAGCAGAAATATTGCTACAGGACGGCACATGTGCGCACAATCACGTGTGTGTGTGTGTGTGTGTGTGTGTATATGTATGTGTGTGTGTGTGTGTATATATATATATATATATATATATATATATATATATTACTGTATATGTGTGTGTGTGATTTTGCAGTTCTGGGTAGGGGGCACACGCCCTACCCGTGCCACCATTTGCAGCCTCTGCTGTCAATCACCGGGTCCCGGACGGTGATTACTCGCTGGCACCCAGTGATAGTCGATTATCTCCGATGAGGGAAAGACCTGTGTATAAACATGTATGCTTTGTATGGCTCTGCTATACAGGTTGTATAGCAGAGCCATACAAAGCAGTGTGCTTACAATGGAAATCACTCACACAGCATACTATGAAAGAGCACACAGTAAACCCTTTGATCGCCCCACGTTAACCCCTTCCTGCCTAGTGCAATTAGTACAGTGCCAGTGCTTTTTATTAGCACTGATCACTGTATTGGTGTCACCAAGTTGGTTCCCCCCAGTGTCAGAATGCCTGCCGCAGTCCCGCTAGAAGTCGCTAAACACCACCATTACTAGTAAAAAAAAAAAAAAAATTCCAGTATCTGTACCGCCATTTCTTAATGCTATAACTTTCATGTAAACCAATTAATTTACATGTATTGGGATTTTTTTTTTTAGCAAAGACGTAGCAGAATACATTTTGGCCTAAATTTATGACTAATTTAGATTTTTTTTACATTTATTTACTGGACATGTTTAATAGCAAAAAGTCAAAAATTATTGTTTTTTTCCTCAAAATTGTCTTTTTTTTTTTTTTTTGTTTATAGCACAAAAAATAAACACACAGGCGATCAAATACCACCGAAAGAAATCTCTATTTTTGGGGAAAAAAGGATGTAAATTTCATTTGGGTGCAGCTTTGCATGACTGCACAATTGTCAGTTAAAATAACGCAGCGCCGTATCACAATGGCCTGGTCAGGAAGGTGGGGTAAATCTTCTGGAGGGCAAGTGGTTAAAGGCATTTTTTAAAAAATAACAATCTTGTCATACTTCTCTACTCTGCGTAATGTCTTCTTGGGTCCCCCACCGGCGGCGCTCCTGGCCCCTCCCTCACTGAGTACAACTTGGCCCGTCTCCTCTCTCTCCTCAGTGGCTCACTGGCTGTGATTGCTAGTGAGGAAGGAGAGTCCCCGGAGAGTAGACGTTCTC